TAGTTTAGCCTAGGCTTATAGGCTATATATTAGAGCTTAGAGGGTTTATAGCCTATTTATAGCGCTAGGGAGAGGGAAGGTATATTATAGGCTAGGCTTTAGCCTAGCACCTTCTAAGAGTAGCTAGTATAGAGCCCCTAAAGGGGGCCTTTATAGGTATAACTAGATAATAATTAGTTAGTATTATTATTATAAATCCTTTTAGCCTTATAGCTAAGGGGGTTATAGCTATAAGGCTATTAATAGCTATAGGGCTAGTTACCTTTAAAGCCCCTTTAGGGCTAGTTTATTATAACTTACTATATTTACTATATTAAGTAGGGAAGGTATTATAGTTATATATATTTAATTATTATTATTTTTAACTTACTACTTAGCTAGCTAGCTTATTTATTATAATATTTAAAAAGCCTTAAATTCTTTAATTTTTACTCTTTTCCTTTTTCTTTTAATAATATATAATTATTAAATTCTTTAATTTTTACTCTTTTCCTTTTTCTTTTAATAATATATAATTATATATCTTCTTTACCTCTAGTATATACTCTATATTCTTACTATTACCTTTACCCCTACCTAGGCTAAGCTATTCTTACTTTAGCTATTAAACTATATTAACTCTCTTTTTTACTAGTTTCTTACTATTACTACTATTATACTTATATACTCCCCCCCTTCTTATCCTTATATACCTCCCTAGGTTATGCCTAGGCTACTCCTAGCCTTATCCTAATATTATTAATACTTCCCTAGAAAAATAATTTTTTTTTTTTTTAAAATACTACTACTACTACTATAATAAGTTACCTTATCCCTAGTATATACCTAGCTATATCTTATCCCTAACCCTATTAGTTTAATACCGCTATTACTATTACTAATAATATAAGTAACCCTTGCCTATTTATTATCTACCCCTATTCTAGTGCTAATCTGGCTAGCTACCCCCTATTATAACCCTATTGCCCCCCTACCGCCCTGCTAAGCGCTCGCGCTAGGTTATTACCGCGGCCGAGCTAGTACCGGTCCCCTATAGCCAGTGCCTTAAGTATATAGGCAAGACCAACGCTATTACCTACTTTAAGTAGGCTAGAAAGGAATATTAGTATTAAGAAATAGCTTAAGAATTAAGAGGTAATATATAATTATATATAATTACTTAATATACTACTAGCTAATAGCTATTTTATAATTAATAATTTTCTTAAAGCTATTAAAGTAAAGTTATATTTAGAATAGGCTTTATTATAGCTATATAAGAATAAGGATTATATTACTTAAGGTAAGGTACTTAAAATAACCTTACCTAAATATAAATAATAATAGGTAGCTTAGAAGCTAGAAGAATAATTTCCTATTACTTAGTATATTTAATACTTATTTATACTATATAACTAGATAGAAGATATATAATATAATAACTTTACTTCTTACTTTATATATACCTTATTAGTTATAATAGGTAATAAGCCTAATAGTACTTATATTATAAAAGATATTAATAAAATAAAAGAAAGTATTAATTTTTTATTAATTTTATTTACTATTTATATAAACTAATATTTATTATAAAACTTAAAGAATTTATAACTCCTTATATATAGAAAAAGGAAAGACTTTAAACTCTAGCTAATTTAGAGTATATTTAATAAGTCTATTTACTATAAAAATTCTATATAAAGAAAAAGAAATTCTACTATTATATCCCCTTAGTAATTTATATATAGACTTTATATACTTATTTTATAAATATTATAATATAAATTTATTTAATATAATAATAATAATAATTCTTATATACTAATTAAGCTAAATAATCTATTTAATACCTTTACTAATTATAAGGTAAGGAAAAACTAGAGTATTTAAGGGAAAACCTTATCTATATTTATAGGATTCTTTATAGTCTTATTCTAAAGTATATAGAGGTCTAGTAAGACTCCTTTTAATACTATATACTAGGTTTTTATTTATATCTTAGCCTATATCTAGCCTATACTACTTTAGTTAGCTAAGCCTATTAACTACCTTCCCCCCCCCTAGGTTTTTATTTATATTAAAGGGGCTATATTTAATCTTACTTATTTCTAGACTAGTTAAGCTTATTATCCTTATAACCTCTTAATTTCTTCTTCTTTTCTTTATTTTTATTTATATTAAGAAAGGCTATATTTAGTTTTATAAGCCTTTAAGCTAGTTAACCTTAATTCCTATTATAGCCTCTTATTATTCTTAACTTTCTTACTTTTTACTTCTTTTAAAAGTTTTTAACTTCTATCCCTACTTATTATTTTTTTTTACTTTTAATATTTTATACTTTATTTTATTAGAACTAATAGGGTATATATAGGGTAAGAGGTAAAGTTATTATATTATATAACTTCTATCTAGTTATATAGTATAGGTAAGTGCTAGATATACTAGGTAATAGGAGATTGTTCTTCTAGCTTTAGAGTTACCTATTATTATATTTATATAGGTTTAAAGTATATTCTATAGAGAATATTATAATAGTACTCTTAAGGTTACCTTTAATTCTTATTATTATTAGCCTATATTATATAATAAGACTTAATAAATAAATAAATATATTTTCTTTATAACTATTAGTTTTTAATAAAGGTTAAATAGTAATTTTAGCTATACTTTATTTAAATACTTATAGTTATTATTATTTTTTATTAACTAATATATAATAATAATAATTCTTATATACTAATTAGGCTAAATAACCTATCTAGTACCTTTATTAATTATAGGGTAAGGAAAAACTAGAGTACTTAAGGGAAAACCTTATCTATATTTATAGGATTCTTTATAGTCTTATTTTAAAGTATATAGGGGTCTAGTAAGACTCCTTTTAATACTATATACTAGGTTTTTATCTATATCTTAGCCTATATCTAGCCTATACTACTTTAGCTAGCTAAGCCTACTAACTACCTCCCCTCCCCCTAGGTTTTTATTTATATTAAAAAGGCTATATTTAATTCTATATATCTCTAGACTAGTTAAGCTTATTATTTTCTTAACTTCTTAACCTTTTAGTTTTTCCCCTTCCTTTTTATTTTTATTTATATTAAAGGGAATTATATCTAGCCTTATAAGTCTTTAGGCTAGTTAAGTTTAATTATTACTATAGTCTTCTAGCTTTTATAATACCTTACCTTCTCTCTTCTTTAAGAGTCTTTAGCTTTTATCCTTACCTACTATCTTCTTTTACCTTTAATACTTTATACTTTATCTATATAGGTTTAAGGTATACTTTATAAAGAATATTATAATAGTATTTTTAAGGTTACTTTTAATTCTTATTATTATTAGTTTATATTATATAATAAAACTTAATAAATAAATAAATATATTTTCTTTATAATTATTAACTTTTAATAAAGGTTAAATAGTAATTTTAACTATATTTTATTTAAATACTTATAATTATTATTATTTTTTACTAGCTAATATATAGCTAATAAGTTATTATTTTAACTTTATTTATAATTAATAAGACTTTATATAAATAAATAATTTAAAGCCTTATTAGCTACTAGCTAATAGCTAGTAAAGAATAAAAGGTATTTTTCTTTTTCTTTTTCTTTTTTCTTTTCTTCCTTCTTTATTATTAATATTATCTTCTTTATCTTTATTAGTATATCTTCCTTTTCTTCTTTTTCTACCTCTTTCTCCCTTTCTATATTCTTTTCTTTTATACTTATAGCCTTTTTTTATTAAATCTTACTATTCTTTATTAACTAACTTTATATAATTACTTTATAATATTTTATTTATTAACTCTTACTTTTATACTTAATTAAGAAAAGGCTTTTAGTCTTTTTACTAGTCTTTTTAATTCTTTAGCTATTAATATTATAGCTTTTATTTACTTTTATATATATTCTTTTTTATTTTCTTTATTTTTTATATTTATTAATATACTTTATTTAATAGTTAAGAACTTATAAGGTATTATATCTCCTTTTATATTAAAACTTCTATATAAATCTAAGCTTATAGTTTTAAAATACCTTATAAAGAGTATTTTTAATTAGATTTATTTTATTATAGTTTATTAATTTATTACCTAGTTTTCTTAGCCTATTTTAGGTAGTTTAATCTTTTTTATAAGTTTTTATTAGCCTTTACTTTATTCTTTACTTTTATTCTTCTTTTTCTTACTTTTTATTAATTTCTTATTTTCTTTTTAGTTTCTTTAT